CTCTTTGTTCTCTAAATGTTTGTGAACCACAAACCCCGAATATTTTTGTTGAGAAAAAAAATGAGAAAATCACACTTTTTGAAAAAGAAGAATTGTTCAAATTTTCAAAAGGAGAATGGATCCCACCTGGGGTTGAAGTGATAACAGAGAAGAAATCCCGGCCTTACTGGAGAAGGCCGAAAAAGAAAAATGAAACAAGGGATGTTCACGATCCCACATAAAAGAAAATAAAAATAACGTCGTGCCGCGACATTAAATCAAGGCACTTCTTGGGAGGCAACCCAATTTCTTCATTTTTATTTTCAATTTTTTTCAGTCGTGTGTGTGTTTAAAAAAAATGGACTGGGATTGGACCCGGTCGGGTATAAACCCCAACCCGGTCGGGTTACCTCTAAAACAAAGCACCCGGCCAACCGCCTGGGCGAGGCAAGAGCAGAACAACAATAAATCAAATGCCCGACCGGGTAGACCCCTATACCCGGTCGGGCAAACCAGCAAAAACTCTCTGCCTCGGGTGAACAGCTTACGCCCGACCGGGTCAGTCACAATACCCGGCCGGGCAACACAACAAAAACCTTCTGCCTCGGGTGAACAGCTTACGCCCGACCGGGTAAAATACCCCACCCGGCCGGGCGGTCGGGCAAACGCCCGATAAAGGTGCGGGCGGGCAGCCTTTCTTCCCCATTTCCTTTCCCCCCACGACCACAACCTCTCCCAACCCTCCATTGTTGAACGTCAAAGCTTCAAAATCTCACCATTTTTACACCAAATCCATCAATTAACTCCATTTTCTTCATCTCCCTTACACACTCTTCCATCCTATACACATAAATCCCTCCCAAAGTCACCAAATCAATCCAACCCACAAACCCTACCCCAAGCTCGAAAATCCCCATTTTTGAGCACTCAAGGTCCGAACTAAACCCACAAACCCTTAACTAATACCATATTCTTGCTCCCCTCATCATCCTCTTCAAAACCATACCCATAAAAACCATCCAAGCTTCACCCAACCAAAATTCCGAAAATCATTCTACAAAAAAAAAATCATGGCTCCAAAAAAATCAAAGGCATCTTCTTCAAGGGGTAATAGGGCCATCTCACCCGTGAAAGGCTTTGAGAGTGTGGACTTCGTCTCGGAGGACCAAAAGCAGCGCTTCATGGAACAAACCAAACGGGAGGTAAACCAATCTCGTTTCATTTGCCTTACTACCCTATTGACATTCATGCTTGATACCGTTATGCGTGAACTGTTCACAAATGCTGGAATGCTTAGGGTATTTGAAATGCAATATGTTACCTACCCACACTTGGTATATTATTTTTTTAGTTCATCTGTGCAAACTACAAATATTGATGACCATGCTGAAAGCACAATCAACTTTCGTTTGCTAAATGAGGACCGCTCATTGACCAAGCGGGAGTTCACCCAACACTTTGGCCTCCCCTTGTTTGATGAAGAACGCGATTATGACACTTTTGTGGGTGTAGAGTTATGGCAAAGGATGACAGGCCAGGTAGATGTTGATTTTCGTCATCTTAGTGTGAATCGTGTACAACATCCGGTCTTCCGAATATTCTTGAATTTTTATCAAATTATTTTCTCGGAAGACCAAATAACCATCACACAAGAATATGGGATGTTTGTGTTCTCTCACAAGCTGTTCAACAAAGTGGCAACTTCCACAAGGCCAATTGTGATGGGAGGCTTAATCACACATTTGGCCACACTATATGGTTTTGTAGACCCCGGCCCCATTACCACAAAACAACTTGTCTGCACAAAATGGCTTATGGAGAATACCAAAGATGTAAAATTCTCTCACACAACACCCGGGGGGGGGGGGGGGGGGGGGTTAACTGGTTAATCGACCCACCAGAAGACATCTTTTTTCGATTACCCCCACTTGAACTCCCCTTGGACCTTTTGAATCACCAAATCGGTGATGGGCATCATTACTGTCTCCCCGGTAGAATACCACCCCATTATCAACAACAGGAACCTCACCATGATCAAGACGCACTTGAACCTCCACCCCTCATACCCGAACAACCCCAGCCACAACCCAATGCTCACCAATTTTCACCATTTGAGCAAGAACTGCTCAATAGCATGGCTGCCCTCAACCTCAACTATACCAACCTTCGCGAAGATGTTGGACTATATAGAATTGAACAACAGAGGTTCGAGAGGATAGAGGAGCAGAGACAAAGAGACTGGCAGCGGCATGAGGAGGACCGACAGAGAGATCAAGAAGACATGAGGAGGACTTATGGCCCTATCTACTCCTACATAGCACAGCAGGGTGACTTTGCATCTATGACCACTCCTCCTCCTGCACCTTCTTGGTATAATCCCACTGAATGGGGTTATTTTGGCGGTCCAAGTCCCAGTGATGGAAGCGATCACATGGATGAGGATACATCTTACAGAGGCTATCATGGCTATGGAGGATTCTATGATGGCGGCGATGCGGGCGAGCACTAGGGACAGTTCCATGAACTAGCATGGGGGGAGAATCTTTCTGGTATGCTCACATTCATACTCTTCATTCTTGTTTCTTTCTCAAAAAAAATAAGAAATAAAAAAAAAATAAAAAAAAAGCTTGTTAAGTTGAAAACCCACAAAGGGCAGCTTAAAATAATAATAATAATAATAATAATAATAAAGCAAAAATAAGAGTGAGTTTGTGAGATTTATTAAAGAAAAATGTGGGAAGCTGGGTTGAAAACCCGAAAGGGCACCTAGGCAAAATGAGAGAATGAGAGAAAGTATTTCTTTTGATTTTGCAGGATCCTAAGGGTGATTACTAAAGAGAGTTCGTTGCATGAGGAAAAAGAAATTGAAGATCCCTTGATATTTTTTGAGAGTGTATGTTAGGGATACTTTGTGATTATGTTGTTCTAAAAACAAAATGTGATGGTTGATGATCTTATCATTTGAGGACTCCTTGGATTGCATTTACTCGAGACGAGTAAAGTTTCAAGTGTGGGGATGTTTGATATGCACTAATTAGTAGTGCATAAATGTTTGTTTTTATGTTTGATTTGTGTGGATTGTTTACCGTTTTAGTAATTTGAGAACATTTGTTTGATTTTAATTGTAATTGTATTTTAATCCCCATTTGTGAGTTGTAAAGTAGAATTAGGCATTATGGTGTTAAAAAGAGGACTTTGAAGTGAAGCAAAAGGAGATTGGACTGTTCAGGAGCTGAAACCCGATCGGGCATAAACACTTGACCCGGTCGGGCAAGATTTAACAAACGAAGGAGACTGGAAATTGCATAGACCCGGTCGGGTCCCCTATACCACCCGGTCGGGTCGGATTTGACCCGGGACAATTTAACGTGCAAAAACACAAAAACGTGGAAGATTATCTGATCTTGACATGCACCCGGTCGGGTGGGCTCTTTACCCGGTCGGGCACCCGACCAAAGGTGTTGTAAAACACCTATAAATAGCTCCATTTTTCTTCACTTTTAATAATCTCTTCTTCTATACTCCTAAGCTCAGTTTAGAATAGCATTTCTTATATTTTTTTATCATGTTTAGTCTCCAAATGAGGAGCTAAACTTCCATTTCTTGGTGTTGCTCTTGAAGCTTGTTGATTATTAAAATTGTGAGTTATTTTCTTAACTTCTTTCCTTGAATATTAGTTAATAGTTCTTTCCTTAATATCATCTCTATATTAATGTTGGGGAGTGTTGCTAAGATGACAATTAGTTAACATCTCGACATTAGTTAGAATGGTATTTTCTTCTTCTATATTAATGTTGGGGAGTGTTGCTAAGATGACAATTAGTTAACATCTTGATATTAATTATAGTAGGATTCATCTTCTTTAATAATATTCTTCCTTGAATATTAATTAATTCCTACTCATATTTCATATTAATATTTTGAACATTACTTAAAGGATCAACTAGTTTTGTTTCATATATTAATTATTACTAGAAACGATCAACGAACCGATGGTTAATCGTTGATGGTTTCACAAGTAAGTAACTTCGGTTTATTAATGCACGGTCGTGGTTAATAAACTTAAGAGGGATTAATTTTGTTGGTTAAACCGAAACCGTTGTGTTGAGGTTATCAATCTCAATTGATTTCATCAAGGAGTTAGAATGATTAAATGTTACTATTAAATTGGTATAAGGCGTTGTTCTATATTAGATTAATAGTAAAGGTTATTAATGAACGGTCGTTAATAACTACCCTCGATGAAGTGGATATACTCCCCGATTGAGTATTCGAAAGGGAATAAGTTATAGATATAACAATGATCGACTAAAATATACGGAGTATCAACAAGTGGAAAGAAGCAATGTCAAGTCCTTTTTATCTTTGAATTAAACACATATAGGTTGTTCATCTTAGTTCTTAATTAAATTAAATCACTCAATCCAAATCCCCCCTTTATTTACTAAGTTTCATAAAAAGAGAATTATTCCTTTCCCTGTGGATACGAACTCTACTACGCTATACTACGTATAAGTGTTAGTATTGAAAATTATTTTGATGCACCGTGACAGAGTGCTTGTCAAAAAGTCACATGTAAAAAAAATTAGGGGTCATTTGGTGTAAAGGTGATCACCATAATCATTATATGATTTTGAATAGAATAAAAAGCTCCATTCCCATGAAAAGTAAGAATGAATTTGGTGCATCATATCTTAGACCAATGATTTTAAATGTGTCAAAAATGTGTTACACTAGATAAAAAACGTGGTGACATTTTTGTAAATAGATTGGTTTTTCTTCCTTGCAAAAATACATAGGCGATCTAAATCAGTGACTTGTTTCCTTCTCATAATCTTGAGCAATAAGTCACATGTAAACTTACAGAAGACTACAAAATATATTGTCAAATACGTTTTGTCTGTACAGACCCAAAAAAAACAAACATGTGTAAAGTGGGTAGCCAAGCAAAGCTCAACAACGAAAGCCGGGTAAGTGAATACGGTAGAAGACCGTTATCATATCACATGATTCATAGAGCACATAACTTTAAATCCGTCACTCAAACTCACACTCGGATCACCTCTCTCTCTCCAAGCCACTTTATCTTTTTTTCCTGCTTTTTGTTGACAGTCTTTACCCCCCACAATAGCTTACTTAAATCTTGTTTTTCTTCATCTCGATCATCGGTTAGCTCATACTCCCCCACCAGTGTTTGCATTTTTTGGCTGATTTCTTGAAGACCCTTTTGCAGTTTGAGTGAAAAGTCCGGGCCGGGAAGAGTGGTGGGTGGAAATGACGGCCCCTAAACCTGAAGATATCAGTTACCTTCCAATGGACCAACTTCAGGGTTTAGAGTACTGCATTGATTCCAATCCTTGTTGGGGTGTGAGCAAATAAATGATATATCTTACTGTTATTTTTGCCGCTGTTGGTTTATTTGTGGATTTTAAATAGGCAGAAGCTAATTTCCATGCTTTTTATGTGGAGGACAGGGGAAGCAATAGCACTGGGATTTCAGCATTATATCATGGCATTAGGCACTGCAGTGATGATTCCATCATTTCTAGTTCCTTTGATGGGTGGAGATCATGTAAGGCTCCTTTTTTGTTTCTTGCATAATATGTGACGAACATCCAATGGCACAAGAGCTGAAGTTTGAAAATTTCAATTAATGTTGTACTGCATGAAGTTTATGTTTTTCAGTGTCTGACATCAATTAATGAAGACAGGAAGTGAGAGAGTGTCTAGATTAAAGGGGTTCAAATGCATGGTCTCGAAGTTTGAAAAGAAAAATGCAGTAAATCTGAAACTCAAAAAATATAAGTACAATGACAATTATTTTACAAGTTGAAAGCAATACTCTTTCCAGAAATAAAGAAAAATGCTCTGTATTTTTTATTTAATTACTTGAAAGAGATAAGAGAGAATCTACTGCGGCGGAGTATCAATTTATTTTCCCTGTTGACGACAGGGTGATACAGTGAGGGTGGTACAAACTCTACTTTTTGTGCAAGGGATTAATACGATTCTCCAAACATTGTTCGGAACAAGATTACCTACTGTGGTGGGCGGATCATGGGCATTTTCGGTTCCCATTTTTTCCATCATTCGTGATTCTTCCTTCACCACCATTGCTGATCCTCATGAAGTTCGTCCATTTCTCCCATTGCTTATTACACTTGTGTGCTGTTTTTTTTGGATTGAATGAATGAATTTCTGGAATTACTTAACGATGATACAAGCGATCTTTTACAAGCTAAATTAAAAATGAATGAATAACCGACCTCTTTTGCTCCGGTAGAGATTCCTCAGCACAATGCGGGCAATACAGGGTGCACTTATAATAGCTTCTAGCGTGCAGATTATTTTGGGGTATGGTCAGCTGTGGGCTATTTTTTCGAGGTGAGATTTCGCGAAATAAACAAGTACTGTATTGTTTTCCCCGTTTTTGTTCTTTTAATACAGAACTGCTCCTTCTTTAATGCAGGTTTTTCAGTCCACTTGGAATGGTCCCAGTTGTTGCATTGTTGGGGTTAGGACTGTTCGATAGAGGATTTCCAGTGGTAGGGGGTGATGAGTTATTTCACAGTAAACAGCAGTTCATCAATTTCACATATGATTTCAGGACACTAATATGATAAGACACATTCTTTCTCTGCTTCCGCACAAATGCAGGTTGGGCAATGTGTTGAAATTGGTGTTCCTATGTTCATCTTGTTTGTTGCCTTCTCTCAGGTTTGCGCATTGTTTCCTTAGTAGTAGACTTTTCAAAGTCACATATTTGTTTCCATAGTAGCTTTCAAGAGTAATGATAGGCCTTGTTTGGATCGAATGTTAGGACCTATCTAATTCCCTAGAATCAATCAAATCCCATGGCATGTGAAATCCCACTTTCTGATTCACAAAACCCAAGAATGCTCTAATTCCCAAGTTTTCTTAAAAGTAAGGGCACTACGAACAAAAACCTAGCTAGTAGATTTGAGGAGAGTGGTTATGTTTTAGTCTTATTTTAGGTGCAATAGTCTAATGATGATCACCATCACCAACTAATACTAGTGCTAGAAAGAAACATACATAAAGTCGAGTTCTAGTGCTTGCACATTGAAGAATATCTCCCAAGAAAGAAAGAAAGGAACGGGGAATATATTATGAAACCATTTTTCTAAATTAAATGTGATTGAAGCTAAATTGTTCTACAAATGGCTGCAACAGTACTTGAAGAACTTTCAGTTCAGGAAACATCCGGTATTGGAACGTTTTGCTCTAGTTATATCAGCAGCAGTGATTTGGGCTTACGCACACCTCCTCACTGCCGGTGGCGCTTATAAGCACCGTCCAGAGGCAACTCAGCTTCACTGTCGCACCGACCGAGCCTACCTCATTTCTTCTGCCCCATGGTATTTAGTTTTTTGTGTTGTTTTAATACATCTCATTTTTAAGTTTGTTCAGTTCTGCATATTGATGGTTTATTGTTTTCAAAGGATTAAAATTCCATTTCCACTTCAGTGGGGTGCCCCTACTTTTGATGCTGGTCATGCTTTTGGAATGATGGCTGCTGTGTTTGTTTCCTTGATTGAGGTAACTTTTAACGGAGAAAGGAAATTACAGCCCTAGCGAAGAAAGAAAAAATATAAGACATGATGAATACTGTTAGTCATAGAATTCAAGCTAAGATTGGATAAAGGTCACTCAAATGAGCCATATTGCGCGCAGTTGGATGAAAACATGCTAAAAGATTGAATCCTGAATAGATTAATTATTTCAATCTTAAAGTCTCATAAACTAGTTTCCTTAGCTAATATTCCATTATAGGACTGTAACAGTTACTGAGACTGACTTTGTTGTGATGTTTGTTTATTATTGGCAGTCAACTGGAGCTTATAAAGCGGCATCTCGTCTGGCCAGTGCTACACCACCTCCAGCTCATGTTCTTAGTCGTGGTATTGGTTGGCAGGTTTGCAGTTTTAAACCCGGCCTCTCTAGCTCATCGTGGGATTTATAATCATTTGAGTACCATTTGTGTAGAAAAAAATAAGAGATTGCATAATAAATGAGTGACCCTTTCTTCTTCTTTAGGGGATTGGGATCCTGTTGAGTGGACTTTTTGGGACAGTTACTGGATCATCAGTTTCAGTGTTAGTATTAATTACTAGCTAGTATTATACTTCGTCAGTTTTGTGTATCCAGTTGTTATTTAATTACCTTCTTGTTTTCTTTATGTAGAGAAAACGTGGGTCTTCTTGGAAGCACTCGTGTTGGTAGCCGCAGAGTTATTCAAATCTCAGCAGGCTTCATGATCTTCTTCTCCATGTTAGGTGAGTTGTGCATGATCGATCTCCAGAGGGGCTTCATTATATTATATGACAATCTATCCTACAGAGACTGGTGAAAGTTTGAACTTTTTCTTGTTTATATATTGGCGATGGCGATGGCGATGATGACAGGGAAATTTGGAGCCTTGTTTGCATCAATACCATTTACAATATTTGCAGCTGTATACTGTGTGATGTTTGGGCTTGTGGGTGAGAATCTCTCGCTCGCTCTCTCTCTCTCTCTCTCACACACTCATACAAATATACAATACAATAGCATGCATGAATAAATATGAATTGCCTATGCAGCTTCAGTGGGGCTGTCATTGCTGCAATTCACAAACATGAACTCGATGAGAAACCTGTTCATTGTGGGTGTTTCGCTGTTCCTTGGGTTGTCCATTCCCCAGTATTTCAGGGAATACACTCATGGCCCTGCACACACCAACGCCGGATGGGTAAGAATTGAAGAAACGAACAGTGATCTTCTTACTACTTAGCTTACGCTCACTCACTCACTCACTCTTTTGCTGCATGCCCGCAGTTCAACGATCTCCTCAACACAGTCTTCACGTCGTCCCCCACAGTGGCACTGATGGTGTCGGTGTTTCTGGACAACACACTTGAGCGCAAAGACAGTGGTAGAGACAGGGGAATGCCCTGGTGGGCCAAGTTCAGATCATTCAAAGGGGATACCCGGAACGAGGAGTTCTACACCCTCCCTTTCAACCTCAACCGCTTTTTCCCACCCTCCTGAATCCTGATCATCCATCCAATGGACGCCAGCCTTCTCCCTTCATCTTCTTTTAGACCTTTTCATTTCAGCCAGAGCGTTGTAGCATTGTAGTACAAGAATGAATAGCAAGAGCATTTTTGGGGTGAACCCCCGGCCCCTATCATTGAGAAATAGTTAGAATTAAAAATACAGTACTATCTTGCCTAATATGATTACGATCATAAACCTAGCTAATTACTATCAAAAAATTATTATAAATATTTGCAATCAAAAAATTATTATAAATAATTACTATCAAAAGAATTACTATAAATGATAAATATTTTATATAAGAGTTCTCCAATCACATTATACAATGACTGATAGAAGTTGAGATTATCACAAAAACAATACTTCATCCGTTATTAAATAAATGCAACGGTCAATTTTTCACATTCGTCCAGACACAATTTTGACCATTAATATATTTAATTCTCTATTAGTAAAAAAATTAAAAAAATAATATTTTGAAAATTTACAATGAGACAAATTCAACAATATTTTATTCAAAAAAATATATTAATTCATCAATAAATAAAACGTAGTCAAAGTCAAAGTTATGAATACTGTAAAATTCAACATGTTGCACGTATTTAAGAACGGAGGTAGTATTATTCAATTTCATACCCACCAGATATTTAGTAATCTAAATTCATATCAATTGCTTTATTAGTCCACTATATTTGTCTCATTTTTACTTTTTTGTTAGTCTCATTAGGATGCTATCGTACACTATTTAGTAATAATATGATTTATTTAATTTTGTCTAGATTATTGTATACTTGTGATTGTTAGATTATGAGCCCAGTTGATGACACTGAAATTGGCTGAATCCATCCATTGGATCTGCTGAAATTTATTAAACCTTGTCTGAAGTGACTGAGTTGATTAAATTTATTGAATTATGGAAAAATTATATTTAAAATATATTTTAATAATAAAATAAAATAAAAACTTATATGAAAATTAGCTAAAATAGTTCTCAGCAGTAACTTCAGCCAATCCAGTCAGAAAAATAAATTTAACCCTACTTATTTTGATTATTACACAATTAAACGTGCGAAATTAAAAATTACGTATTTGATAAACAAATTGACTAATAAGATGGAAATAGGGATCACCAAATGGACCCTAACACTTGGTAATTTTTTATTTGTCTAAGTTTAATTTAAGCATTAATAATTATGAACCAAAACTCATTTTTTATCACGTTTAAACTTGTAGAGCGTATGAATTAGAATGTTTTTAGTTAGATCAAGATTTATATTATGATCTTTTTAAATTTGGTTTGATTTACTTCATTTAAGGAAAAACCTCTTAAGAAAAAAAACCTAATAGAAAAGAATAATTTTTGAAATTTACGTATGCAATATTGATATAATATGCAAGATTATAAAAAATTATCGTGTTCAATGTTTTTTATCAGAATGGGAACACAAATGAATAGGTTATATTCTGTAACACTTTATATAAAAAAAGTAATTATCATGTTATCAATTTAGGTCAATTTCGAGAAAATAACAAATTAAAACTATTAATTGACTAGAGGCGGCGTATGTATTTTTCCTCTTTGTTTGATCTACTAAATACGTAAGTGGCAAATTTAGTTTTAAAAGCAAAAAAAAAAAAAAAAAAAAAAACAGGACAAGATAATCTACGTATGGTTACCTATAGTAAAATTGGGGATGCGCAAAGCAACCCCTTTCATTTTCAACCTATTTTTTTATAACCTTGAGAAATAGTTACGTAATTATGATTAAAACAAAGGTTACTTACAAATTGTGATATCTTAAATTTAGTGATTTTAGTAGTAACTACTATTACTAGTTACTATAGTCATGATACTTTATATTCAACTTTTATAGTTATGCCACAATGACACTATTATAGCTCTACCTTCATCCCAGTTTAAGGCTCTAATTTCTCTTTTTGGAAATAATTGATACTCTTTAATAACAGTTTAATCATCAAACCCGTCTGCTTTCTATCTTCCCTTTTCTTCATTTTCATTTATTGATTTATCATTGTACTTGACTTTCTCTTCATGCATATTTTCTTCATTTGTTTAGATGCCAATCACATGAAACTCATAACTAATTTTTGCCAAAATTTGTAATTTAATGTTGCTGGAAATAGACATTAGACTATTTTGAATTAATATGGTGAATTAGTAATTCAAATACTACATACTATATTGTTGAATATGTTGTTTTGTTGATGACTAACCTGCAGGTGGAACGGCGGACAAAATCGTTCACAGTTCCTGGCGAAACAAAGGACAGAACTATCCTCAGGACCAAATGGATATTATTAGTATGTTATTGACTAGCCATGTAGGTGGAACTAATGCAGAACCAATTCTAGTTCCGTGATATGATTCGAATTAATATTGATTGCGCTTACTTGATTAATATACTTTCCTTGTATGAGTGCATATATTTTGTCAAGAATATTATTTCTAAGCAAAAATATCTTTCTATGCATATCCACTCTATTTATAATTGGAAGTTGACCATAGCACTTATACTTGTTAAACGAATTCTTTCTCTTGCTATACGGATTTAAAAAGTAATCCTTGTTTGAAATATATTCCATATTTGATCCATTGCATTTATGAAATAATGTCCTTGTCCGTAATTGGTATGCTACTTTCGTGTATACGTGATTAGAATATCTTAAGTATCTTAACTTGACTGCCCTACATATCTCGAGATGGAATATGAGAAATATTATGGAGAGAAGCAATTCAAAAATAGGCAAGTCCATAAATTCACCAAGCAACCAACTAAGGAAAGAGGAGCAACAGACGGGCTGCATAAAGCTATATACTCCCTCCGTCCCCTTTTAAATGTCCCATTTTACCTTATTTGGTAAAGTTTATGTGGTTCAAAATCATTCTTACTTTATTCTTACTTTATTTCTACTTTATCTATTAATATCAACCACACAAACCTACTTTTCTTAAAACTCGTGCCACCCTCTTCCGGGACATTTAAAAGGGGACGGAGGGAGTATATGACAGAAGATCAAGAGAAGCGGGTGTGCTTGACCGAGCAATTACAGAGAGAAATACTTATAAAGAATTATCAAGACCAAGGCACCTGGACCTGCTCTCAGAGTTCTAGATAGACTTTGTTTTCCCTTCTTTATCTTGTAACTAGATTTTGAGGAAAAGCTAAAGTGTAGCCTCCTCGGGTTGGGGCGTGTGTGAGAGAGCTTTGTTGTAAAGCTGAGAGGCTCTCTACCTGCAAGGTAGAGATGCATAACTCTTCCTAGAGAGGATAGAGTTGGGGGTGGCTCAAGGGTAGATTAGGAGAATTTACCTTGTAACCACAAAAGGCTTTTTAGTGAAGTTGTTTAAAATTCCTCCGAGGGAGGTCGAGGTTTTTTAATCCCTTTGAGCCAAGGGGTTTTTCCTCGTTAAATCCTTGTGCATTTTACTATTTCGCAATTCCTTGAACCCCACACTAGAACTGTGTGAGAAACTGCCACAGTTCCACACACACACACTTCACCCCCCCCCCCCCCTCTTGTGTTACTAACCGTTTCATCAATTGGTATCAGAGCCGGTCTTCGCCACATAAAGGTTAAAACCTTGGGAAGAGATCCGACAGCATGAATACGGTTGAACGATTGGAAGAAGGATACTCGACTCAACGACCACCGTTGTTCAACGGCAAATTTTACCAATTCTGGAAGAGTCGAGTGGATAACTTCATCAAAGCCGAGAATTATCAGGTATGGAACGTAATTGAGGCAGGTGATAACATCATTACTAAGCTGGACTCCGAAGGTAAGGTTGTCCCTAAACCCAAATATGAATTCACTGCTGATGATTATCGTAAACTCGAGCATAATGCCCAAACATTAAAATATTTGATTTGTGGACTTGGTCCGGCTGAGCACAATCGGGTTCTTGGATGCAAATCCGCAAAACAAATGTGGGATTTACTCGAGGTTACGCATGAAGGTACCTCGCGTGTAAAAAGATCCGAAATTGACATGTTTATGCGTAATTATGAATTGTTCGTGATGAAACCTAAAGATTCAATTAGGGATATGATTACACGCTTTACTAACATTATAAATGAGCTTTCAGCACTTGGAAAAGTTATTACTGTAGAAGATCAAGTGAGAAAAGTTATGAGAAGCTTGCCCTCCGCACGGAAGCCTAAAACAACGGCAATAGAGGAAGCTAAAGATCTCTCCACCATGACGTTAGAGGACTTGATCGGTTCACTCATGACATATGAGTTAGGCCTACAAGAAGAACAAGATGCCGAAAATGTGAGGAAAGAACGAGGAATAGCTCTCAAGGCTCGAGAAGAAGAAGAAGAATCCGAAAGTGAATCGGAAGACGAAATGAGCATGTTTGCCAAGCAATTCGGGAAGATGTACCGGAAATTCAAAGGCAGCCGGAATAAGCAAGGTAAAAAGGGTTTTCAATCTTTTAATAACCAAGGTTGTTTCGTTTGTGGTTCCTTTGAGCACATGGCAAAAGATTGTCCCCAAAAGAAAAATGTCAGAACCTACGACAAGAACAAGACCAGTTCCTACCGGAGGTCCAGTGAAGATAAAGGGTTCAACAGAGACCTGAAGAAGGCGATGATGGCAGCTTGGGGAGACTCATCCGATGATGATGAGGAAGAAGGTGAAAAGAGTTCCAATCATGCAGGGTTGTGTCTTATGGCTAATTCCGACGAGGAATCCGACCAAGAGAGTTTCGAGGTAAATTTGGAAAACTTCCTATCTAAGTTTGATTCTTTGCCTAAAACCAAAGTTCGGAAATTTTTTAAAAGACTAACTATCGAGCTTAACCAAAACCTTTCTGAAAATGATAATCTAAAATCACAAATCACTGAGCTTGAATCTAAACTCGAGGAAACCATACGAGCAAAGCTAAGGCTTGAAACTAAAGTGGGAGAGTTAATAGATGAGAAGCTTAAATACAGTGAAGTGGTTTTAGAACAAGACAATATTATCTATCTTTGAAGCTCGATAGCATGAATCAACAAGTTGATCAAAGTGAAAAACTTCTTTCAAAAATTCCGAACATTGGTGTGCTGATTGAACACCTTAATCGCCTTGAGGCCGAGAGACAAGATTTCAAAAATAAACCGGAATACCAGCCGTATAGTACCAAAGATAGAACCAGGTCTAGACCTCATTCTAGAACTGGACCCTCTCGGTACAAAAG